TGGATTCGAAATGGTTTCTGGCGGAAATACAGCGCCAGGTTCATAATCCGGATAACGAGCATGTTTCGATTAAAAAAAAAAAAAAAAAAAAAAAAATCTGCTTTTTTTTTTAACGTTCTCCATTTTTTTTCCCTCGTGTACTAGGTGTTTTTCGTGGGAGAAAATTCAAATACAAAAACTGGAATTACGTTAAAAAAATCGCCGACTCACTTCAGCAAGATCGTCGGCATCGCCTTCTTCTTCTGCCGTGCCACATCCGGCTGCCAGCGCGGAAGAACACTGCCTCCCTCCTCCCTCCTTCTCCTCCTCCCTCCCTTCTCCTCCGCTGATTGCCCGTCTCCGACACCCACTTGATGCCGCGGGAAACAATAAGAGACCATCGCAACCGTGAAGCGCGCCATCTTTTGCGCGGGAAACGTGGCCACTGCGCGCCATGATCGCCCTCCTGCCGCTGACGCCTGATAACGATTCCGACCTCGAGGCTAACCGCAATCCCAACCCCATTCCCAATCCCAATCCCAATCCCAATCCCCCAGCGTCCCTATCCACGTGCAATGCCCGACATCGGGCTTTGGGAACACGAAAGCCCACCGTGTAGCCATTGCTGTTTGTTCTGCACCCTTCAAGTTGGGGTCCGCTCAGCGAGACGGAGCACGTGTCACTCAATTGTGCATACGGGGGGTTAGTAGGAGTGGATATGGCGCCGCGCAAGTGCGACGCAGGCGCGAGTGCCCTGGCGATGGAGACAGCCATGGCTTCGTCTGTCTTCTGGTAGCCTGGGGCTACCGGTAGTTCTGCTCTCGGCTGGTCGTTGCGTCCTCTCCCCGACCGACCGACAAGGCAGCACGCTGTCGACAATTGGTAGGTGGCCAGCCCTCTTGTGCAGAACGAAAATCCGATGGGTAGGACGAGTGGTGGTGCCGTAAACCTCTACTCCAAAAAAAAAAAAAAAAAAAAAAAAAAAAAAAGGTAGGTAGCCAGCCCTCTTGTGGAGAACGGAAATACGATGGGTAGGACGAGTGGTGGTACCGTGAACCCCTAACCCAAAAGTTCAAAAAAAAAAAAAAATAGGAATAATTTGCAAAATACCCCCATAAGTTGAGATACATGGCAAAATGCCAAATGGATAGAGAGGAATGCCCTTTTGGGACAGAGCTGTTTTTGTTATGACCCTGTGAGGCGGTGTGAAAATTTGCAATCTGGACCTCCCCGTTTGGACCCTGGCCTCTTGCAATCGGGCCTAGGAAAAGTTTATCAAGTACCGGGGTATTTTGCAAAGTTGAAGGGTATCCGGTAGGGGTATGTTGCAAAGATGGGGGTCCAACCGACGCAGGGGATATTTCAGAAATTATTTTGCTTCTCAGAGGGGCATTACGCTCTATCCACATCTTTCAGGGGCATTTTGGCAAATATTTTAACTTCTGGGGGTATTTCGCAAATTAGACCAAAAAGAGGAAAACAAAGAAAACTTACCCCTCGATTATGGATAGGAAGCACCAGGATATTTTGCAAGTTATCCCAAAAAGAAAAAACAAAAACCCTACCCCTTGATTATCAGCAGGCAGCACCAGGAGCAAGGTCCCATCAGCAATGAGGGTTGGATGAAGCATTGGAATCGATATCACCGGGGGTTTTCTGCACCTCGCGGCACAAACGACTGGATTCAGGCGTTGAGTCTATCGTAGGATCACGCCCCCGAACCAAAGTGGTGCGTACTTGCGTTTTCAATTTTTCGGGAGAATTGCATCTATACCCAGTCCCAGTGCATTCTTGCATTTATACTCGGGGACCCCGTTCAACTCGGCGTAGTACCCCCATTTTCCCCTGTGTGAAATTGTAGGCATACCCAGTCCCAAAGGCGCTTTGTTCTAGGCCTCGTAATTATGCTCATGCCCAGCAACAGGGCTGGCAAAATTGTGGGTGTACCCACACCCACTGTCGGGCCTTGGATGGCGGACCACAAAATTATGCTAAGTGCACTGTTGTGGCCCAACGGCTGCTGGGTATAAGCATAATTTCAGCCATCTGATAGTAGGGTAATTGAATATTTTGCCCAGTCCTCCTCACAAAACGGGAGAGATGATCTACAAAGAGAAATTCCTCACGTTCACAAAAAAAAGGATCATGCATCCACATGTGAGATGGCACATTTGGTGAGAAAATAAATTCATTCCATTCCATTCAGTCATAAACAATCCAATGAAAAAAATTTCAAGGGAAGTTAGCATTCAGTCCAACAATTCCTCAAGTGAAATCAAGATGTTCTTGCGCTTGGAAAAGATCGCCCTGTGTGTTCCTCTTGCAAGCGGAAGAGTGTAACGGGAAACACTCAAAAAGGAGGAAAGGAGAGAACGAGGGCAAGCTCACTTGCATTCACTCAATGACAAACTCAAACATTGATTCACATAGACGAGATCGGGGGACTTGTAGACAAAGAGAAAGCATTCACGAACATAGAAATGGAAAAACAAATTGGCACTATGCCATATAACCACTAATTCATAGCAACAGAACAAAAGTGAGAGAGAAAAAGAAGTAAGTCGCGGATCCATCCCTTCTTATAGACGTGGCGCCCTTGCCAACTAACCAATGMCCATCTCTTMCCCCGCCTCAATACCGATGATCATTGTCGCCGCATACTTGGCACTCCAGCCAGCAATCGTCACCCCATCAACTCAGCTTCTGCACCGATCCACCTAGATCCTGCATATGGTCGCAGAAATCTAACGCGCGATCCCACAGAGCTACAATTGACATGTCAAGATTGTTAAAGTTCGCTTTGTTGATCACCACCAAAGCCTTACCATTACTACAACTGAGTTAGCGCATAGCATGTGAGAGAGCAAAAAGGACGCGCTTACGAGATTTATAATCCTGAAGGAAGCAGGCAAGGTTTAACGACTATTAACGAGGGAACTTGAAGATAGAAGAGGGGGATAATAGGAGAGGAAAAACTACTTGGGAGTGCTCGTAGCCAATCAAATTGCAAATTGAGGGGTTCAGAGCCTCTCTACACGCAGTTGTCCGACCTCTGCGGTCACTTAAGATCAACAAGATCCTTCTGAGTGTTGATGAAGGGGGGGAAAGAGGTTACAAAAGATGGTGTACGGCAGGACTAGGATGCAACTGGTTCAAGAAGGAGAAGGGGGCATAAGGCGGGGGAGAAAATGGCAGTAAGAGTTTTGTGTTGAAGGCGCGAAAGAAGGAGGACAATGGGCGCAAGGAAAGATTTCATGCAAGAACATGGACCGAAAAATGCATTCGCAGAAAACGTAAAGGTACCAAAATAGTTATGTGAAATGTCAATGAAAGTCACGCCTAATTCCTGCAGCTAATTTGACAACAACCCAATTTTGGTTGTTTCTGGTCTTAGATCTCTACTCAGTCTCCTCATTGAAGTTAAGTAATGATCTCAATATTCCGGGTTGATTGTGGAAGGATTCTCAACCTCCCTTGTTCGTATTTTGGTAATAAATGAGGAATTTGCACCAAAATAATAATTAAAATAAAATCATTCAACTAGCTTGATTTGGATTTGAACTCGAATCCGTATTTCAACAATTGATTGGGTGTAACAACTAAGATAGGGTCGTTGGTTACTTGTGTTTTTCCCTTTCCTTTTGTCGGGTGCTGCCTTCCAGCCATCTCTGTTTGGGCTCCAAAGTTCTATTTGCGGGGGTTTCGTTTAAAATCCTAATACAGTGTGACATGAGTGACTTTATTGTTATTGGATCTCACAAATCCAACATCTAAACATAGGGTGTTCATAAGAATTTAGAAAATAAAAAAATAAACAGGAAAAAAAAGAATAAGACCTTGTTCCACAACACTTCAAACTCGAGGATGAGTTAGTCGAGCACCGTTCCACATTGCCATAATCTCCTTCTCGAGGGTGATTAAGTTGCTTGTTTTTTTTGGAACCTGCCCGAGAGTTCTCACGTGCGGCACGAAACAGGTAAATCGGGCCGATTTTCAAGCCATCTCTTGGAAGTGACCTGTTTTTTTTTTTTGAATGGCCCCAGGCATTAAGGGGAAGTCACTATTGCCCCCAATTAGGTTTAAGTGCTCTTGTTCGTGGTTGGTCAGTTATTGCAACCCGCCCACGCTTGTTCTTCTATGGCAATTTCATGAGTCATGTGAAACGATAACTACGTTTAGTATTTTTTTTTTATCATGATTTGAGCTGTAGGGCCGCCCTTGACGTTCAAGTGAAGTGAAGTGGTGTCTAACGAGAATTCGTTCCTCTTTACCTCCATTATCAACAAGGCCTAGTCTACTCTATTTTATAAGAATAGGAAACATGCAATTCCACACTATCTATCCCTAAGATAACCCCTATTGTAGGTTCCCTCTAGAGTCCTCAACAAGAGCAACAACGGTCTGAATCATTGATGTGTACTAGGCCTCCATCCGTTCCTCTACCTTGGCCATCGATTGAGCCTATTTTGGTCTTCCCTCAAGGAGGCCCTACCTTGGGACCCTCCTACCTGATCGCCCCACTAATGGGACCCCCCTATTCATCCCACTTCAAGTTGTGGATTTCCCCCCCTCCAAAGCAAAGCCCTAAGGTAATCAACTTACATGATCAATCTCTCCACAATATCCCTACCTGCCTCCAACCATTTGTGTGCAATATGCTTTACCTGTCCCAATCATATTCGAACCGCCAACCTCTTCTGTACAACTTCTACCTCAAACCCATTGAGTTACAGGGACCGGTCTATTTGTGCGCTATAAACCCTCAAAGACGCCTTCAAGAAGCAGCGACTTTCTCTTATTTGGACAAATTGTCTTTACGAATCATCATTGTCACGGAAGCTTTGCTAGCTCCACCGTACCAAATGGCACTCATAACTTAACGGTTTTAAGCTGATGGAGACCAATGTGTTGCCAGACCAAATTACTCGTCGAGTCGTGCGATGGCTCGTTGGCGCATCATGTTGGGAGGGCGGGGGGAGAGGAGGATTACGTCCAATTCATGATGGCGGATAAGTACGATGAGAAGGAGCACGAGCACGAGCAAGACGATGACGAGAAGTAAGACGGCGAGGAGGATGAGGAGAAGAGGGAGAAAACATGGAGCCCGGGGAAATATATATTTTTTTTAACAAGTCAATTCATATTAAAATGATTCCAATCGGACCTCGCAATTCAACCTGGAGTTATTCTGGCAGCATTACCGTTCTGGTTGCAACCAAAAGTTGCAGAACGCGCCCCTAAAACATACTTTCTATTACTCCTCTCTACCAATCCATTCCAGCGAACCTTCAACATCTGTCCCTTGAAAGGTAAAAAAAAAAAAAAAAAAAAAAAAAAACCCTTCTTACGCAGTCCTGCATAAAAATATGTTACCGAGGTAAGCAATGCTCAAGCTACAATAGTATTTATATCATTAGTAGGAGCTGCTAATTCTCCATTGGGTAATTGGACTAGTTTAAAAGGGATTAGAACACCTGACCAATTAGATACAAATATAAAAAGAAACATTGTTCCAAGCAAAAAAAAGAAAAAACTCATCGGGGAGAGCAGCAAGGAAAACTAACCTAGTGATCCCCATTCAGCCCCCTACTACACCCACCCCCTACTGGTCTTTGATCCTGAAGACCAGGCACCGACTGATGCCAGAAAAGAAAGGGCCCCCGAGCAACAAAGAGGAAGTCCTACGACAACCCCTGTTTTGCAATCCTTGGATCAAAGACACAGAGGGCATACCGTGGACTCTCCGGGCCAAAGACCGCAAATGGCTGTCATGGGTGGAGAGAGGAGTATGGCAGGTCAAACATTTGTGGTCCAAAGACCAACAATAATGGCTCACCGCAGAAAACCTTCGCACTCCCTTAAAGGTTGCCACCTACTGACCACCAACCTGTCAGAAATCCTCCAAAACATTCCTCCCCCATGAACGACCCTCCTAAAAGAGACACATACGTGAAAATCAGGAGATTGGGGACCACTCACCACACAAACCCCACCAATGAAAGCCTACCGCTTTGTGTCAAAACCGGACTCAACTAACTACCAGGCCAAGTTTGTATCCTACCCCATCATCAGACACAACCTATATGAACTAGAGATCCCAAACAAAACACCAGAGAACGAACAAATAGAAACCTACCTTCTCAGGAAGGATAGAGTCTCTCACAAGATACCCTGGTTTATATTACAGCCGGAACTCAGCATCAACGAGTTGGAATTCGACCCAAAGGGATGGATCTGGGATCTGGGTGCTGCCGGTAAATCAAGAAGGATAACAGAATGCGACGTAAAATTTGGGTATAACCTCGGACTACAAACCAGGGACCAGAACCCAAGGCTGGCAGAAAAATGGAGAACCATACTGAACCTAGATACCACGACCCCCATCACCATCAGATTGACCAAATACCTTCTCATCAGACCAATTAGAATCGGAAGTATGCAATAGCACATGCAGCCCTGCTAGTCAACCAATGGTTACACGAGAGAAGGAAACATTCTGATCCTGATAGCTCGGCATGCTGCTCAATGTGGAGCAACGACTCACCCGAAGACATCCCCCACTGCCTCCTCTTCTGCCCTGAAGCAACCTGGATATGGAAGAAGATCCGCGAGCTATGGTCGATCCTGTTCGCTGCCCCCCCCCCCTTAACACCCCCCCTATCTCTATCCTACTTCTAACTAACGTCCCTAGCAACATCCGAGTCACAGGCAGCAGGGAAGCATGGTTCACCCAACTCAGAAAGCTGGCACTGTGGGTGATATGGAAACGCAGATGCACTCAGACAATCGAGGGAACAGAGGTGGCAAGAGAAGAAATGTGGTCACTACTGCTGAGCATGGCAGAGACGGAAATCAGGAGCAGATGGCGAAGAATAGCGAACTCTTCGAGACACAGACGAGAAGGACAAGCAACCAAGAAATGGACTTTCATAAGGAACTGGTTGCCAAAGGGCAAGGTGGCAACGATAGTAGACAATAGACTGAGGTGGAAGAAATGCACCAGGCAGAATCATGAAGACCACGAGGGTACATGCCGGAAGACCTGGCAGAAGGTTCTGAATGGTGATCAACAAAAAGAGGACCCGACACACAGGGAAGGACAAGGACAAGCAACAGAACACAGAGCGCACCTTCCCACTGTTCTCGTATTATCATTCGACAGGCTCTAAATAGAAGCCTGAGAGGAACAGATGGTCAAGGAGAGCTGACAGTCAATCCTCCTTAGGAGCAATCAATGCTGGGTCCTTCGGCCAGACAGAAGGAAGCGTTGAGTGGGTAATATGATGTAATCCGTTTTTGACTTGCCGAGGGAAAATAGGGACGGGGGCAAGGAGCAAGGTGCCACTTGCGCAAATTAGGAGATTTCGGCCGTTGATCTTTGCTATCTACGGTCAGTATCGCTTAATTCGTGCAAGTGGGACCTAGCCCCGGGACTGACCCTCCCCAGAATGGATATGGAGCCAGGACCATAAGAACCTGTTTTTTTTTTTTTTTTTTTTTTT